GGACACAGACACCAGCTGTGTCCCTCAGAGGACAGACTGCTGGACACGGACACCAGCTGTGTTCCTCAGAGGACAGACAGCTGGACACGGACACCAGCTGTGTCCCTCAGAGGACGGGGGTAAAGGTGATTGGATCATTGTAATCTGGGCGTTCTTGTTTGAGAGATGATCATCGGTCCACCAAACCAGTCTTCATCTCTGCTGTGTTGCTTGTTCATTCATGTGTTCACAGCCTCATCGCCTCTGTAAGATAACATCTGTTAGGACTGTCCATGCCTTACCCAGAATGCCTCAGTGTCCTTCAGTAGATGAACATCTCTGCATTAAGGTCCAACCTCCTTCACCAAACTGAGCTGTTCTTTGTGTTGCAGCCTCTGTGGGATTGGATCTTCTTCTGGCAGAAGGTCCCAAAGGAGATCCCTCTGGAGCCCTCCAGGTTCAGACTCCTGAACCCCCATATCATCAAAGAGACCGCCTTAGACCTCCTGAAATACCCTCAGCCCAGCCAGCGCCTGTGGGGCTGGGACCAGGTAACCTGAAACTCAACTGTTCATGTTACAGTGGAGCTACGTTAAAGCTCAGTAACACCAACATTCATGTTCGTTACTTCATCAGGCTGAAGGTTCAGGGTGGATTGTTCATTTAAGATCTTTGGGACACCCTGCTACCCTAACAGAACCACCTGCCCCCCTATGAAGGCGATGAAACGTAAAATTTATTGAATATCTGCGTATTAAACATCTGTGTTGACACATGACCAGTTCACTGCAGCCGGAGAGATACTAGAACTGGTACACCATCACCTCACCCCCTCCTCCTGCACCGCGCCCCGACCTCCTCAGGACTTCTGTATCTAAAATCTAACTAATTATTAAATAATGTGTTCGGGGCGGGGCAGCACGGTGGCGCAACTGGTAGAGCTGCTGCCTCTCAGCGAGCAGGTCCCTGGTTCAAACCCCGGTCCAGGGGCCCTCTGGGTGAAGTTTGCATGTTCTCTCCGTGCATGCGTGGGTTTTCTCCGGGTACTCCAGTTTCCTCCCACAGACCAAAATCATGCATGTTAGGCTGATTGGTAACTCTAAATTGTCCCTAGGTGTGAGAGAGAGAGTGAATGGTTGTTTGTCTCGTTTGTCTCTATGTGGCCCTGTGATGGACTTGCGACTTGTCCAGGGTGTACCCCGCCCCTCGCACAGTGATTGCTGGACATGCGCACCAGCGACCCCCGTGACCCAAAATGGAATAAACGGGTAAAGATAATGGATGGATGGTGTTCGGGGCGTTGTAATCATACAGACATGTGCATCTTGTGTACATGACCAAAGTCTGGGTTCGAGGGAGAGAGAGACGCTGCAGGAGCGAACAGCCTGTTGAGTTTCTGAGAGGCTGTGTCTGCTGCTTTACTTTTTCTAAATGAATATTAAAGCTAAAAGACGAATATTTATCCCCAAGATTATAGCAGAGATATCTCTGTTTAAGGTTGTTTTTTTTTTACCTTAAACTTACAAAGTTTTCTATGAGAGAGTCAGTTTCAGGTGTTTGCATTTTATCATAAATATCTAAATAAATTCAGTTCAAGAGTGTTTTAACAACAAAGTGTTGTGTCTGTCTGGATGAGCTAAACTTTATTATATTTACAGTCATACTGAGAGTTAACTGTACTGTGATAAATGTCATTTAAGAAATGATCAAATATGAAAAATAAATAGTATTAAATTACTACATGAGCCAAACTCCTTTAAAAGTAATCACTTTGAATGAAATACTAATTTTAGAGGAGAAGTCTGCCAGTCTAGAAAATAAAGAAGTTAATTTATAACCTCTAGGTGTAGAAAAGATTTCAGTCCAAAAAATGTTTCTGCTCGACTCCATGAAAACTTCAACGAGTTGTCTTTGTTGAATGGTCCTCCTGAGCTGCAGGGAGGGGACTGTGAGACAGAAGCACTCCCTACAACAACACAAACTGCTCTGTAATTACATTTAAACACTGAAACTATGAATACATAGTGTTCAAACAATAAAATCAATCCAAACAGTAGCACCGGAGTAAACCGGAGCAAACCATCACAGCTGATGAGGTACGACTGATGACAGAGATTTGACAGAACGTCTCTTGAAAAATCACGGTCTGTCCCTTTAAACATTTTAAACTTTAAAACTCATCTAAAACTGGACTTTGGTTTCAGAGCCTGCGAGCTGAAGGTTCTGCCTCCTGTTCTGCTGTAAGAATGCAGGTCAGCGTTGAAAACCTTTCGTCTTCTGTTTGTGTCCCTGCAGAACGTTCCGACCCTCGGAGTGTCTGCCCTGAACCTGGCCAGCCTGCTGTGTGACGAGGTCAGCCTGGCCGGCTTCGGCTACAACCTGTCCCAGCAGGGGGGGCCGCTGCACTACTACGACCACCTGCCCATGAGCCACATAGAGCAGCAAAAAATGCACAATGTCAACCGAGAGACCAAGTTCCTTCAGAGGCTCATCAAAGAAGGTACCGTCACGGACCTGACGGGAGGGGTCCACTGCTCCTTCTGCCCCAGCTGACACCCCCTCCCTCTGGACTCTGTTACTGCAAAGATCACAGTGAAGTCAGAAAGTGTTCAATAAAACATCAGACAAGCTTAATTTAAAAATACAAATCTGCTTTATAATTAGTCTGAAAGTGTTTTAGAGAAGCAGAGGATTTAAAACAAACGTCTGTCGAGTTAAAGAGAGAGACCAAAATGTCTGATTGGACAAACTGAACTCAAACTGCTGACTCGTCCTCATTAATGCTGACTCGTCCACATTAATGCTGAC